ACACCTCCTGCCTCTCCCACACCTCCTCCTCCTGTACCGCCCACCCACTGACCCGTACACACAGCGGTGTCCCAGCTGAGGTGCAGCTGCCTTTGGGTTGAGTCGAGGAGGGCAGGGTGCGGTAGAGCGGGGTCAGTTGTTCTAGAGTGGAACAGTGCCCGTTAGGATGAGTTTGGCCACATGGGATCAGTGCAACATACATTACCGAATATCTCCGAAGGTTAAGATTAACATTATTGATGTTATGTATCCAAAAGGGCTTACAGTTGATTAGGCTAAGTGGTTGACCTACGAGACGAGAGCGATGTGGGTTATGGGCTGTCCTCAAAGCCCCTTCTGAGGCTCTCGGGCCTGAACTGCCAATCCTCTGAGCCCGAGTCGAATGTCTTGTCTAGAAGCTGTCCGGATAATTTCAAGGTAAATCGTCTCGGTCCCCGTGCCCCTCAGTTCCCCCTGTGTGACTGGGACATGGTTTTGAACACACACCGTGGGCGTGAGGTAACGGCTCAGCAATGTAATTCGGCCAGGAGTCGCCCTCGGGAGAGGAGGACCTACATTACAGGAGCTTCACTGCGCATCCAAGCCCCTCCCACCTGCTCTCTCACCCACTGTGGTTACCCTGGGTTACAGTCCCCTCCCCCCAGCACACCCCCATCAATATTGTATTACAGAGCACATGTTTGTGCCTGCAGTAAGCTGGGGCTGCAATATGCTCAAGATATATTTCACTGAAACAGGATTTACAGTATGTTAAGGATTATATTTGTAGTTTTGTATGGAGCAGTCAAATAGTTTTTTTTTTTTTTCAAAAACCAAAGTTATCATGCAAAATCTCTCATGATATTTCTCCTCGATCACCATGCACCCACACAAACACACACGCATGCATGCGCTTACACACACACACACACACACACACACACACAAATACATGCACACGCATACACACACACACGCACATACACCCCTTTCTGACCAAAGGTGCTGCTTGTGATCATAAGAAGTGTGAAATGAATGGAAACCTGAATTGTGTAGGAACCACCCTCTCTTCCAAACTGAATGCACATCGACATCCACCCTGAAAGCCACCGTTTTAATTCCGCTTTCGCTGTCCTTCTGCTCTGTGTTCCTTTACATCACATCAGCGCAACGCACATGCAAAGACACACACACACACACACACACACACACACACACACACCTTGGCTCCACATCCTGCTCATCGCGCAGCTTGTTAGCGGAAAGGTTGTGCAGCCTGCTGTTTATGCAGGATGGTACAGATGGGCTTTTTAATCCTATAATCAGGTAGGACATGCTTTTCCCTCCACATTTACCAAAGATAACAATCATCCATGTTTTTAGCTCTATAATTACACACTAAAGCAGAGTTATGCCAGAACAGCTGATGGGTAAGATGGCGATCTGGATGAATTCTCAATAAATGGATGAAACAGATTATTCTACAACCCTTGTCAGAAAAATCTAAGATGGTTTGTAAATTAAATGTAAAACTGTAACCAATGATTTGTAAATTGTCTTTGACCCAAATTACCTTGAAAACAATACGACAGCACATTAATTCACCACTTGAATTGTATCAATTTTGATTATTTCTATTTTGATTCTTGCGACATATTTAAAAAAGAAAGTTGGAACAGTAAAGTATTTATCGCTTTGTAGAGTGTCCAGTTCTTTTCACAACAATGTTCAGGGACTGAATACACCAAGTGATTAAATGTTTCAGGTGCAATTTTGTCCCATGCTTCCTGTAAACCAGGCGTACAGGAGGCAACAGTAACACAGTCTTTGTTATCACATTTTGTATTTCAAAATGAGCCACACATTCTCTATTGCGGACAAGTCGGGACTGAACCACACATTCTCTATTGCGGAGAAGTCGGGACTGAACCACACATTCTCTATTGCGGAGAAGTCGGGACTGCAGGCAGGCCAGTCCAGCACCCGCATCCTACATTAACGCAGCCATGCCTTTGTGATGTATGGACAATGTGGTTTTGCATTGTCTTGTTGAAATATATGCGGGCATCCCTAGAAAAGATGTTGTCTTGCAGGCAGCATAATACGTTCTCTGAAATCTCTGTGCTTTTCAACATTAATGGTGCCTTCACAGAAGTGTAAGTTACCCAAGCCAAGGGCACAGACACAACCCCACACTATGACAGGGCGTAGCTTAAGGACTTGTTGCTGGTAACTGTCTGGATGGTCCTTTTTCTTTGGTGTGGAGCATGTGGCATCAATTTATTCCAAAAAAGAACTGAAATATTGATTAATTTGGCTGAAATAGGTTTCCAATGAGTGATGATCCATCGCAGAAGCCCCTGAACCCAGAGAAGCTGACAGCGCTTCTGGGCAGCACTAACAGAAAGCCTCTTTTTTCGCACAGTAAAGTTTTAAATGGCATTTTTGGATGTTACTATGTCTTGTTGTACTTGAAAAAGGTTTGCCAGAGTAAACTGGAGCCGATGTGGTTATGTATCACTTATAAATATATGACGATTATTGAACTTTTTACCTCATTACTACTTCTAAGTTACCCTCGTTCCCTTATTTTTTTTTTTTTTTTTTGGGAATACACTGCAGACCCAAATGGGAGGAGTGGATGTACATTTACCAATAAAATGACTTTGACCAGACAAAACATTGAATACCTCATCTTCATCCTGTCTACAATGAAATACAAGTCAAATATAAGGTAGAAATCACTGCTTTTTGTTTTGATGTATATTTTCCATACTGCCCCAAATTTGCTCCTATATGAGATTGTAAGACTGGTTTGAGAGTGGCTGGTGAGGCTCTCATAAGATGACTTATTTACCCTGTCTAGATGCTGCAGATTAGGGGTGAATATTACCACCCAATTTCACTGTGAAACTCTGGTTATAATTCCTATGACTGGAATGTGCATGTGGCCTTAGCAAAGCTAAGAGTTAAACACTGAAGAATAGTTGGAAATAAATAACAGCTATAGGCATAGCTATCTGTTAAGACAGCTAGCTATGCTGCGACCAAGATCAGGAGAGTCTCCACAGCAAGGTTCCTAATGCTAAGCTGAATAACAGGGTGTGTTCTTTTTTTTTTTGTTTTGTTTTGAGAGGTATCACACAGAGATCAATCTCTGCAGAAAGAGTAACAGTAAATAAGCGGATTGCTCTACAGCTGATGCCACGCCAATGATGCCAGGATGCAGAAAAGTACTGTGTTGCTGTTTGAATCCTTGAGTGCTAAAAGTGGCCTGATGCATCATGGGAAGGCGGGTTGGGGGCGGGGGGTTATAAATGTGGGGTCTGATCTCTGGCGGTGACGGAGTGACCTCACTCCGAAGCCCCACTCAGGTAGTGTTCTGCAGACCTGGCGGGTGCATAATAGCTGGATGCTAATGTGCCTGTAGCAGCAGAGACCTGCCAGACTCGTGCTGACTGAACAGGGCCCACCAATGAAACACATGCATATACACATGCACATGCATGCAGATGCTGCCTTGCAGATCGACTGTAAGACGAACACACACACAGACACAGACACACTCACCGACACACTCAAAGACACACAGATACTGCCTTACAGATCTACTGTCACATGCATACACACACATGCACTTACACACGGCCTTGCAGATCTGTGATCTCACACATACAATCAAACACACACAGCCACACACAGTGCCTCACAGATCAACTGTCAAAGAAACACACACACACACGATTCCTCGGTGATGCACACATACACACACACATACACACAAACACATGGTTCCTTGGTGATCTGCGGTCTCACACATAAACACAGACACACACACACTCACAGACACACAAATACTGCCTTACAGATCTACTGTTACATGCACACACACACACACGCACTTACACACTGCCTTGCAGATCTACGGTCCCACACATACAATCACACACACACACACAGACACACACAGCCACACACAGAGCCTTGCAGATCAACTGTCAAAAGACACACACACACACACACACACACACACACACACAGTTCCTCTGTGATGTACTGTCTCCCACACAAACACACACACACACAACCTCACACATCTGATCTGATGTACACACAGCCAGCTCACACCCTGGTTGGGGGCAGAGGGCAGGAGCACAAGGTCAGAAGCGGAGTCACGACATCAGGCGCTGCTCGTTTGGCTCGTTGGCTTTCGCAGCATGTAAACGGCAGATTTGGCTCTCGCCGGGCGCTAGCCTGCTGCTGCCCGCCTGATTAGCGCAGCTCCCTGGCACTTGCTAAACGTCCTTCACTCACCGCGACTGCTCTGAGCTGGACTCAACAAGTAATACACGAGCCTTCCATATGACAGAGAGCACTGGCAAAATCTGCAATCAGGACTTATTCTACATCTGTGTATGGTGCCATAATGAGTGTACTTTTAAGCACATCTCATTGTGAGCACTCTCCCCTAAATCACACACAGCATCCTGTGCTGAAGTCTGCTCTATCGGCCCTAGAGGCTGGAGAATTAGTCTCATAAGTTAAGCCAATAAACAGAGCCACAGATGGGCCCAGGAATTCCCACTGACTAATGAACATACACACCAAACTGCAGTGATATATCCCCTACACAATCCCATTTAAATTCACGGCTACAATTCTATTTATACAGCGTCTATCAACATTTCTCATTTAATTGTCAGTTTAAAACTTTGAACCCAGTATCATATGAAGGGGTCATGACCCCACCGATGTCAAAACAGAGCTTACTGTGATGGGGAAACCATCTAATCGCAAACAAGGTCACTTGACCACCAAAAGTCATGGGAACAAAGTCACATGTTTGAAGGCGAGTTTTCCGGAATTTCTGGTCATTGCACGGTCTCTATGCAGCCGATAAACCGGCCTACAGGACTCAAAGGGTTAAAATGTTTTTTCCTTCCATAGACACAGATTATTATTATTATTATTATTATTTAGCTTCTTTTTTATCAATAATAATAATAATCAAAATAAAAATTGGCACAGTGGAGCAGTGGTTAGCATGGCTGCCTCAGAGCTAGAAGATTGTGGGTTTGAATCTAGCCTGGGGCCTTTTTATGTGGAGTTTGCATGTTCTCCTCGTGTTTGCATGGGTTTCCTTCGGGTACTCCGGTTTCCTCCACCCACAAAAACATGCATCAGAGGAACACTCCTACCAGTACCCAGCTTTAGAACTTCTGTGGCTGCCCACCGCTCCTAACTATAGGATGGGTTAAATGCAGAGGACAAACAACCCCCCTGGGGTTTAAGAAAGTATCTATCTATCACATACAACTCACCTTATTTGACCTTGACCTTTGACCTAATGAACTCCAAAGCCTAATCAGTTCAGATACCCTCAGTGAGGTTTTATCAATTTTGGTTTGGTGAAAATCCCTCCGAAGCTTCAGTGGAGACGGTACGGAAAAATATTTGTGACGGATGGTGCGATGGACTCACGTGCGAACGTACAACTGGAGAACAATACGCCTCCCGCCCACTGAGAATAATAATTACAATAATAATAACATTGACATTTGCAGCAGTTTTCGAGACTCACAAATTGCACATTTACGGTATCATAACTGTACCGTAACACTTCCCGCTACTTCAGACAATTGGTTGCATACAGTGCCTGTGCCACCCACAAGAGGAGTGTGCTAATTAAGCCGCTGTGCTGTTAGCGTTAGCAGCCATTACGAGACAGCTGCTGCGCTCTGCCTTTTACGCTAGCGACACACTCCAGATATATTACAGCCTTGGCGTTTCCGAAGCAGCGCCGCGTATTACCAGTTGCGTCTGAGGGTTGAGCCGCAGTGTTAATTTGAATAATTAGCCTCAGATTTTTCCTCGTGACTATGTGTTGAGTATCTGTCTGTTTAAAACCATTTCGAATGCGGAGTAATCAATGCATCATTCGGCGTTTGTGGCTGAGTGAAATCGCTCCTCGCTTTAATTGGCATCTTGTTTGTGGTTGCCTGTGACTGCTGTCAAAGTCTTCCCTGCAGCCTAATTAAGCTGATGAAAACGGGACGTGATTAATTATGAAACCAGCCTACCTGATCTGCTATCAGGGAGATCCACGAGAGTCTGAAGTTGTGAATGTGTTGTTGAATAGCACTGTCTGCTGTATCTGGGACTGTCATTTACTGGGTATGAGTAGTACTGTGGTGCAGTGGTTAGCAATGGGGTCTTATAGCAAGAATGTTGTGGGTTCAAATCTGGTCTTGAACCTACTCTGCCTGGAGAGAGTATATTGTCCCCAATTTTCGCTCCAAGCATGGGCCTGAAACATGGGCGTCAGGCTAAATGGACACTCCATACAGTAAATATGTATGAGTGCGTCAATGGTATGTTGTCCTTGTGGTGGTTTGGTGCATTGTCCAAAGCGTGTTCTGGGATAGGCTCTAGACCTGATAATCATGTTGACTAGACGACATGACTCTGGTAATTAAAAAAAAAAAAAAAAAGGGATTTCCAACATTCACCTACTGCTGGTTTGTGTGCCCATCAGTCCCACTTATTTCTCATAAGTGGCGAATACCACACAGCAACGGCATACTTTGAGAAATAAACAGTACTGATGGGTGGACAAAAAATTTTTCTATCAGATGGGATCGGATTTTAGGGGCCCAGCCTGTTAAACGAAGTGCTCACACCGTGCACAACATCAGCGGTCAATGAATGTTGAAAATCCCCTGGTTTTTTTTTTTTTTTTTTTTTTTTTTACATTACCAAAATTATGTTGCTTAGTCAATTTAGGCAACATGATTATCAGGTCTACGATTAACTCCAGCCCCCCCTGTTACCACGACCATGAATATGTTGGCTAGATAATGCAGGATAGTTGTTCATTGGGGGGCATTGTAACTGTCACCTAGCGGCTCAGGTGTTTGACCAGGACTTGTAGGGTTAGTGGTTGACCAGGGGATATTTGCTTCCAGGGGATATTTTCCTTCGAGTTGGTCAAATTAAACACTATTTGCTTTGAATAAGAGCATTAACATAGCAGCAGTGATGTAATAATGTACTATTTGAGTTCGTTCAGGACGATACTGCCTCGTACTGCTGCAGGAACTACACTGTGTCGACTGATTATTTTTCCACATAACACATTTCTGTCTGCAGCCATTTCAGTAATCTCACAATGGTTCCATAGTACAGTGAGCACAGATCTAGACACATTGCTCCAATCAGACTGCCAACATCTCTTCGCACTTTTGTTTTAATTTCTGGAGATGTACTGCATCAAAATTACCTTGAGTGAGTGAGTTAAAACGTCAAAGACCCTTTTGATATGGAATCAACAACCACTACCACTGTTGTCTGGGCTGCCAGGAGAGCGAATGTGTTTTAAAATTACCTTCATTCTCAATAAAGCTCATGTACTCTATCTTCTCACTGGCCTTCATAGGTACGTAAACGCGTTGTGCATTCCCACACACTCTACAGTGCTCTGTTTGACAGATCTCCCCGTGGGGCAACATTAATCCTCATAAGATACATATATTTGTGTTAGAAAATTCTGCTTAAATCCTTGTAAGCTCACACACATCCTTCCATCTAATCATGTCCAAAGCCTTAGTTTTCAGTCTTCAGACCCAAATAAACCTCCCGGCCGGGTCCTTATCTGCTCCTCTCCTCACAAATCATTTCCGGAAAAAAAGAAGTGAACGGGAGAGCGAGAAATGCGGAAAGTCGGTGGCTCAGGATCTTATCGCCGTGCGCAGACAGTGGATATTGGGGAGTGCAGGACGTGTCAGGGCGCTATCTCCGCGGGCCATTGTCGCGCGTTTAATTCTGCCTTTAGCGAGCGAGGTAGAGGTGGGCGCGTGGCGACAGAGCCGCACAGGAATTGAGATGCTGGGCTGCCGCACGTGCGTGTGACAGGCAGCGGGAGAAGCGAGGTTCCGAAAGACGGATTATCCCGCCGCGGCAGCGGCACGGTCATTCCTGAGGGGATAATGCAATCGTCTCACGGAATTCTACAAGGAATGAAAGGGGGAAAAACAACGCCTTTGCTCTGCTTCTGTGCGATGTGTAAATGAATGAATATAACTTTTTCTATCAGGACTGATTACGCGCTCCCTCCCGTCAGGAGATCGCAGCGCGAATCTCAGCACGGGGCTGAGATGATTAGAATCGGGCCGCAGGAAGTCACATCTGCCCTCGTATTTTTTAAAGCGCAGCTTCTGAATCGACTGAGGCAACTTTAAAGGTCCCGTATAACGAAACTCGCATTTTCGTAACAAAACTCACATTTTCTCCCTGTTCTTGTGCCAGAGGCGGGGTCAGAACTGAAAGCGGGCTGCTCACAGCACACCGCTTTACACCAATCGTTAGTCCTGACTTGTTCTCAGTCATTTTTCTTAAATAATAAAGCTTTCACTTTGAAAACACTCCTCTTTATCAGATGTTGCCAATTCTCCTCGTTTAAGTGAGGAGAGAAATAAACGGACTATTTGGCCGCGCAATGTGATGCATTTCAATCGGCATTAGGCTATTTAAAATTGCGTGAGGGTGTTTCAATTTGTTTTTTAACAATCAGGAAGCGCAGATTTCAGGATGTCCAAAAAGGATTGTGCGGAAGTTCCTTAGTAGTTTACCTTTTCTGTGAAGTGCATTTTGTGAGTGAACTATTTTTCTGAACTGACAATTATTCAGTCACCCTTGCACTGCATTGAGAAAGAAGCTCCGCCTGTAATGTCCAAAAACATTATTCCTATTGATTGGAAAATGTGAATATTGCAGCGGAAGAAAGCATGCTTCCTCCCTCCCTTCTGTATCTGTACCTCTCTCCGCCCACTCCCCCCTTCCATTTTTATCATTTCAATTTCCCTACAAAACCTCCTGTAGGACATTCATTGGTTTTTCTCTCCATTCAGTTTTCTGTGGTCAATTAATGTGAATTCTGTCATGTCTGTCATTAGGGCGGCATGGCTCAGGAGGTAGAGCGGGCGGCCCAGGAATCGGAAGGTTCCTGGTTTGATCCCCGGCTCCTCCAGAGAATGTGTCGAAGTGTCCTTGAGCAAGACACTGAACCCCGCACTGCTCCTGATGTGCAGGGTGGCGCCTTGCATGGCAGCCTCCGCCATCACGGTGAATGTGAGGCATGGTTGTAAAGCGCTTTGGGGTCATATCATGTGACTAGAAAGTGCTATATAAATGCAGTCCATTTACCATGTAAAGAGCAACCCACTTTGTTCTGGTATAAATTTTAAAGGGCCATTCTGGGGGCTCTTTTATGGTACCAGGGGGCCACATAGCCTCTGTTGCAGACGTCTTTCTGTAGTTCGCTTCTCTCACACACCAGCGTCTGCGTACTTGAGCCTGGTTTTGTGTTCAACCAATCTGAGAGAAGCTCTGAAATTCTGAAGCTTTAAATACGTACTGTTGTGGGAGGTAAGCGAAACACATCAACCATCTGTAACGGAGGCTAACCAACACTAACATGTTGAAAATGTTCAAACGGTGGAATTTTTCCAGGTTTCTCCAGCATTGTCTTCCCGTACACAAGTTCTTTAGCCGCAGAGCAGCGCAGTTCGGTTAGCGCTTCAGTAGTGAGACGTTTGACGAAGGGCCGGTCGCTATCATGATAAAGTTGTTTGATTTTCCTTTATGGTCTCATCCAGTCGGCTTTTTTTCTTGAGAACTCATCTAATAAACCGTACGGCATGCAAACAGTTTGCTTGAGGAATATACAGCAGTATTTACAGAAAGAACATGACATAATTGAAGGAACACCAAGTTGGCTTTTTCCATTACGTATTTTTTCTTTCTTCAATCCAATTCTTATTTTACATACAAAACAAAATGTAATTGTCAGCAAGTTTTTTAAGAGTTTCTGTACCCGCCATATTTGTTTATTAATATTTGACAGAGGAAATCCAAGAGAACTATCATTTAACATGCATTCTGATTTGCTTATTTCAAACAATGCCACTGTGTCATGGAACTCGAAACCCAGCTGGAGTGCGCAGACGTTGATGTGTGAGAGAAGCGATCTACGTTAGACGTTTGCAATGGAGGCTACGGGCCACAGACATCAGCAGTGTCTTTGTAACCATTGTTCA